CATCAGTTTTATAGAGAATAAAAGAAATTTCGCAAAGCAAGTGTAAATACCGTGACTATTTCTTATTATATTCATGCTAGCGTCCAAAGCAAACAGATTACTAAAATCTGTTTGATATAAGACATGCATTGTTTATTGAAACAACACGAGTTGTTTACACAATGTTTGACGGTAATTTAAAAAGTTTCCATTTTAAAACCGTATAAATAGTCTTTTGTGAACGTTTCTGGAGCTTTCTGGAGAGAAACACTTCATTAAAAAGATAAAAGGGAAACTTATACTGGAAAGCACTTTGTTATAAGAAAGTTTTGTTCTTAGAACAATATCGAAACAACCTCCAAACTTCCACTGGGTGAAGTATTGCTTCAATTTTAGTCTGCAAGAGTAAGTTATGCGGTTTCCCTATGAGTAGGACAGCATTAGACTCGAGGGAGGTTTAATGGAAAAAGTTTTACTATACTAAACAAGCTACCGACGATGATCAGTATAAACCTGAAGCCGCTTTTGCAAAATTGTTATTTGATTTGAAATATGCACCTTAAATACACTGCACGTAGAAATCTAAACATTGATTGTTCTACCATACAGCTACAAAATTATTAAAAATCCAATGAGTTTCGAAAACAGTGTTGTTACTTATGTTATTGCAGCTGTAAAAGTCATCCGAATGGAATACTTTCGCGTTTCCCCAGTATAAACGGGATATTTTCTGGACACCGGCCAAGGCTGCACTTTCAATGATAACAGTGAGGAATTCTGCGGGGAGTAACTTTGAATTGTGATTAAAGTTCTGTTGAATTATCGATTATCGAAAAATATAACGTCGTCATGGATATCTACGTAGGTATTCAGTTTCAGAGTAACATAATAATATGTATTAAAAAGGCATTTATAAAACTTCGACATTCTTTTGTCGAAGCCCCATGTGAAGCCTTTTCCAAACTCAGTAGTACTAGTATAGTAAATTTTTACATGACATAATTTAGAATTAATTCATGAGAACTAAAACCAGTTCTCTTCGTGATCTTGAAGGTTAAACGGAGATAAGACATAAGTGAAAGTAAGTTAACCGGGGCGGGGTGAACATGTAGCAAATATGTGCACAAAAAAGACGGCGAGCCACCGTTAGATAAATGGGCAAACCACAACATGATTTCCGAAGGAACCGCAATAAAATCTGTATCTACTAACATAATTTAACCAGAATCTAGGACTTTGGAAACTATAGAACGGATCTGCTACAAAACCCTTCTATCAGATGAAAATGAAATTGCAATAGAGATCAGATTTACTACTTATAAGCAAATAAGCTTTTTTGTAAAGCAAGCAACCGGTATAACCTTGAAAATTAAAAATATTTGTGTTTGCTACAGAACAAGTTCAGTGATGGACGGCTGCTGTCGTGTCACGTCGCATGCGGGCTTATTAAATGACTACCTTGGGGTTTCCGAGACGTCGTGATGCGAGTAAAGGGTACTAGAAGGTGGCAGTTAAGTACCAGTCGCAATTATCTAGATATGAGAATCAGCAGTTGATTGCAGATCGCGGTTGTCATGCCACGATATCGATTGCGGCGGGTGTTGCGCGCCGGTCGGCCCGGCGACGTCCTTGGCCCGACCACGCCGTCTCTTACTCCCACCCCTAGTCTGACGTCACAGCTCACACCCCACCCTCGTTGACATGCGGATCGGGTCATCTGTGACGTCACGTGTCACCCCGTTAGCGCCACAAAACATGATGCATCACTGATTTTTTTTTATTACTACCGGCATCGATGCCAATCAGCGGTAACAGGGTTTTGTACATTTTTTTCGCTATGCTCAATATCGCAAAGAACGGGCATTTCATTTAACGGGATCGGAATTTTTAATTTACCCGCAATCCAAACATTTTTAGGATGACAAATTACAAAATTAAATCAAAGACAATCTACTTCATATTTCACCCTTTAATATACAAAAATAAATTACATTTTTCAACATTATGGAGGATGAAAATAATGAATTTATCATAGCACGCTGAGTTTGTAACGTCGGAAACTCATCACTAGCTCGTTTATCGGTAGATATTCATTACATTCAAACTTTGTGGAAAGAACCAATCAGTTTTTATTGAAGTGAAGAGTGCTTAGCAGTTATTTATGTATGAAAAAGTATTTAATAAGTTCATTCCTCCGTTTTATATCTTTTGTAGCCTATATTATTATGTTAAGACGTAGACATACAAATATTTTACACTATATTACACTACTTGTAACACATTTGCGAAGTCTGTGTTAAATATTAAAAACGTAATATTATTTTATGACATCAGTCTGTGAAAGTCATATTTTAGTGTTACAAGGTTTCCTTAAAACGTAGGTTAATTTAATACACGTACGTACCTAAATTGACAATTAGAAGAAGTATATTTTTTCCTTAACTATGAAAAGCAATGACGTCTTAGTTCTGTGTCATTAGGTCATTAACCTGTTAGTTTAGAGGTGTAGCATATAAATCCATTGAAAGATGCCGTCGTGCACCGTTCACCTCGACTGTATTATGAAGGAGCATTAGCATATTTACAAAAACTAACGAGACCTAGATCTCAGGCCAACGAACTTGGAGACATACAAACTATTAAAATAGTGTAAATATAGCTTATAATACCGTCATGGATGGAGCACGGCCAACGACTGATTAAATATAATCAGTAATACCCGGTAGAGATTGTAAGTGCTGATAATCTTAAATGGTGTGGCTGCGAATACCCTTGCCTTTATGTGATGGTAAACGTTATTAAGAAGTTTTAATAATTGTTTAAACAATTGAAAAGATTGTATCTATAAGCAGACACCCAGACCTTGTCCAAATCGGTCAATGCTTACATATGTACTTACTTCGTCGTAGTTTGTAGATAATACACAAAAGACTAGACTCTGTAAGACGCAAAAACCATCGGTAATACTAACAATTTATTTTTTACAGTCGTAAACAAGTTTTGATCGATGTATTCTGTTAAAGAAATAATCCAGATGAAATACGGCGCAGAAAAATATGTAATGGAACAAGAATACGAGACTCGTGTTGTGATCTTATTGAATATGGATGGATTTTTTCCCGAGAAATGAAGGATATCATTCACGTCTGTAAGCATTAGTGTGTATCTAGGCGTAAACAATGACGCGCTATATGCTAATGTTTTGATCACTTCCGGACCGTATGCGACTCCAAGCTAAATAAATATTTAATTTTGTACTCGGATATGATTTTACGACAAGTTTGCAGTGTGTAAGCGGTAGCAACAATGGAAATGGCGCTCAATCAAATGAACAGGATGTGGAACAGTGCGACGACCGCGGCGGCAACGAACTTCAACGCTCTCCATAGAAATTAGCAAGTGCGGCTGCGTCAATTGCCCACAGATTAAGGTTTTGCAACAACAATTCGAAACAAACAACCTCGTTAATATTACAGTGGTGGAGGTGAACGCTTTCAAACAGTTACAGCTGAACAAAAACAAGAAGATCCGCAAACAAAGGCCAAAGCTATTAAACGACGCTTAATTTAACTGCGGCCAATCTTACTCGGTGTGTTTACTTAACTAGTTATAGCAATAAGAGAAAATAAATGTATTTACAATAAGGGCAGCTGTCGAGATCTACGCATCGTAAAATTGTGAACAAATAAATAACTATAGTTTTAGATCAATTTCAAGTGTTTGCTATAAGATGTGATAATGTGATTGTGACTCTGCATGGGCTCAGTTCATCAATGCCGCTTGTAGGGACCAACGCATTGTTCTCCCGGGGGGCACTAACCCACATGCGCCGATTAGATACGAGACGCCACGACACGCTGCCGCCGGGTAAACACACTGCCTCATGCGCAACGCGAACCGTAAACAACACGATTTATAACAACAAACACTCTGACACTTTGCAAATAAATTTATATTAAAAAAGGGCGACCCCATTTCGATACCCAATTTAATTATTCAGAACGTTACAACATCAGGTTGACGTTTCCATTTGAGACGACATGATCGCAGCATTTGTTTTGGCACAAATTCAAATTTTTTTCTTTATAAAATCTTGTTTTAATCAAAGCTTTTCTCTAAGAAAGGTTTCGAGTTACTATTTGCGCATTGCGAAATTCTGAAAACGTTTCCGAATCGAGGGTGTTGTTATCCATACCGGTGTAGATGAAATACTCGTCCCCATTTAGCAATCGCATATCAAGGCTCATTGTTTATGCTCGTGTACCACATTGTTCTGATGTGTTGTAGTGCAAACAGACATCGTCTGTTGCCCGATAAGAGAACTTGACACGAGGGGATCTTGTAATATAATTTCGAAATCAAAAGATAGAGCTAGTTCAGTATTCCCTTAATGTTGCAATGTCTTTAACAAACATGTGAGAACATGTAGGTGTGTGTCCATTCTCCAAGGTGCTAGAGAGAAAGTCTTTACGACCATGTATAGCCTGTACTAAACTCAACGTATCAATTAAAAGTCCGTAGTAGTAGTACCTCACCGCCTACTATACAGCTTAATACCTAAAACTCAACTGAGTAAGCGTACGCCATTTACCTCGATATTAACTTGGGAAAACCACAGTTGTATAGCGGACAAAGGCAAATCCTGTTGATATGTACCATGTAGTCACGTGGCCCAAGTGTGTGACAGGTATAGTTTTTTTTTTACTTTTAAAATCAAAGCAAACAGTGTAATCATTCGGGCCTCCCATAGAGTATTAATGAGACTCCAAAGGTCAAACGGAACCAAACAGTACTCTCTGCGACATTTTAGAAAATAAAAGTTGGTTTGGTTCAGTAACGTTCATTTAAGATTCCCTCGCACCTAAGTGGGCCCTTAAATATTCTTCTTGGATGTCACTGAATAAATTGAGACGAAACACGCAACTGCCATTAGACCGAAAGAATTCGACTTTTTCGTAGAAATATATTGGGATCTAAAATGTTTAAAAAATTAAATTGTATCTCATGCCTTTGCTACGTACCTGGAACATATCCGTGTCTGGGTCTTCTGTGTATTCGACGATAACCGCTTGGCTGCGGCTGAGTGTGTAGGATATTGAGTGTTGGCTGGCATCGAGGATCGCCTTGCTGCTGTGAGGAGTCTTGACAACATAGTGTTTGGACCGCCTCACACCATTCGCAGACGGTCGTCGATACAGCACGAATTTGCTACGACGTCGACCTCGCTCTCCGGCTGGGAGGTATCCGTTGTAACTGAAATAATAACACTTTCTTAACATTTGGAAGAAAATTACAATTATGTAAGTACAGTAAGTTATTTTCGTCATTGGAAAGTTCCAACTTTGAACCGAAACTAATTTTAGCAAGAGAATGAAGGAAAGGGTAATATCGCGGAATGTTATTTTGGGACTTTCAAAGTTACGAGATTTTTCGTCAATACCAAATGCCGTTTGTCGTCAAGATCAGATATTATCAACCAGATGTATTTGGCAATGACATTGAAACGACGACCTTAACGTCTAATCTGTGAGAAACTACGTATATTCCTAAATGGAATGATTTTATTTAACCCACCATCTTAAGTCAGTCCTTAGGTCAGTGTTAGTATCAATTACAACAATAAGTGTTTTTTGTATTGCTTAGTTATAGCCATTACACGCATTAATAGTCGATGGGAAAGGTTAAACTTCCGTGAGAATTCAAATCGAACAATCGGCGTGTACTTGTATCTCTGGCTTCTATTCCCACAGATAAGAAACAAAATAAATGTACAAAGACTTTATTTAGAGAGTGAAAATATGTTTAAATGTGTTTCGCTGAGTGAGTAAAGTTCCCTCAATCCCTAAATCTTCAAATCCCCATAAGGACGGCAACGTACTCGTAACTTCTCCGTGGTTGCGGGTGTTCAAGGGCGGCGCTGATTGCTTACAATTCGTAAGCTAGTTTGCAGCCTTTTCACATAAAAAAATCAATTATGGCGGTACGTCTTCGATTACAATATGAAAATATTTTTTGTTTATTTACGAATTCCTATGAAACAAGCGTGTCGCGGTTTCAAGTTCACGTTGTGTTTAAAACAAAAACGACGCTTAACATATTTTTATGACGAATACGTGAAACATAAGCTACATACTTCAGTAATTAAACTCGAGTAGTTCACAGTGCTATGCAGAATTTTTATAAAAGTGTAAGAAATCGGACAATGTTGACTGCTCGTGGCATGGGAAGCTGAACAAGTGCAAACCTTTGTGTAGTGTTATATAAGTCGGCGTAACACACTGTCTGATATAAGATGTTTTTGTTAAAAACTTTATTCTGCGGATTCCCATCAGATAAACCTTGTTTCCGTGCGTCTACTGAGTTATTTTCACCTTAAACCAAATATCTTAGCTGTAAAGAAAATACCTAAGTACCTGTATCTATTTTTTATCGCGTGCTTCGCGGTTGGTTTTTTCTGTATAAAATTATTTCTCCATATCAATTGGGTTTATCCACTAGTAAATCGAATTGAACTACATCATTATGTTAAGAATGTCGTTAATAAAAATACACTGTACTTATACATTATTAATGAAATTGGTTTCTTATTGAAAACAATTTTCTCATCAAGTAAAATATTCAAAGCAATCCAAATAATCAAAGGGCATCTCGGAATTCAATAGTACCTAATGTAACCTTGATATTCGAAATAGAGGCAATCAAAACTTCCCCGACCTATGGTTTCACCCCGAGGCTACTGTTGTGAAGGAAAATTCAGTCGTATTCAATATAATTAACCACATTAAGTCCTATAAAGGCCTCGAGTACGATTTGTGGTTGCTTAGTGACCGAATATAGAAAAGAGCGGTTGAATAGATTGGTACAAATACAGCTATTAAATGAATGCCTAAGAAAGAAAAACAAGAAACAAACAGAGAAAGCAATGAATTATGTCCGAGCAATAAAACGGTTAAATCGAGTAAAAGCACTACTGTTTTCGTTAACAGTAATGGCCAATCATAAATCGACACACTTGCACAATACCTAAACGATGGGTTACAGGTTTGGACGATCTTTACGCGTGTACATGTAGAAAAGCTGGTAGTTTACATGTTTAAAATAGAATAGTTACCACATCGGTAGGGCGGCGTCGTTGGTAGGAAAATCCTATTATGAATAAATCGATCATGACAGACACATTATGAGTCCTCGGCACCCCTTGTAGGCAAACGCTTGCATTACTTAAAGCAGTAAGAAAATAGGGATGGTATTGCGTTTCACCGTAATGGAATTAGTTCGCTCGCATGGTTGCGGTTACGCAACTTGCAGCTAGGGTCGATCGTACAGTACTATGTATATTGAAAAACACTTATATCTTAATTATAGACAAGTTTGTTGTAGATTGCAGCTCAGAATAGAGTTCATTATAAACATGGTTTAGTACAAAGTGGCTTTATGCAAGAACTAACGAATCGCGTGTTGGTTGGAATGGTACCAAAGAAAAATTTCACCCGATTTCTTCATGTTACCTAGTAGTCAATATATAAAAGAATGGAAAGGAAAAAAGACTAAAACTGTTCAAACATAAAAACTGTTATTACAATACTGAAAAGGGATAAGTACATGCCATATTTTAGATCAACAAAGGATAAAACAATATTGATTTGGAAAGTAACGGCTGACTGGCGGATTACATATTATGATGCATCGTTTTCGTCCTTTTCCCTTCCCAGATATGAACCCGAGTTATGAAAATTTTATTAGAAGGAATCTGTGGGATATTACGAGCCCACAAGGGGAATGATGTATTGAAGCTCTCGCTTCATTTCATTCACTTGAGTCTGCTATATCGTGTTCGGAAGGGAGGGTACTGAAATCAAAATCATGTTCTTCAAATTGAAATTATCAAATTGCGAGTATCTGGAACTTTCTGATGTATTAGAAAATGATTGATCGAAGAAAATTCAAAAATTTTAACAAATCATGTTAATACATATGTAGTGCAGTACATTGACTACCAAAAAACTAAAACACTTTTCGACACAGCGTATTATAATTTTCTTGTGCTAATCATACCTGGTTTCCTTTTTATGACAAAAAATATCGAAAAGTCCCAAGACATGTTTTATAGTTTTCGAATAATCTGCGGTGACGCAATAGAAATTTGAAATTTTTATAAGATATTTCGTATTTTGGGAAGTACCGTATCCTAGAACGAAATTTATCATCAGTGATAAAGTTTAAGAAATACTAGATTACAAAGCTAAATAAAGCCAAAGTCTATCTTGGATATAAATCATATGTACTTTTGTTGAGGCACACCAATCCAAACATTAATAGAATATGATTTGCCTTGGAAAGAAAGTGATATCAATTATATAGATTATTTCAAGAGCATTACCAAGACGGCCAGAAGACGGTCACAATGAAAGCGACCACATCGCTCGATTCCAATTAAAACCAATTGTATCAAAGTCGAATGTCACGGGTCAAAGAGTAATTGCACTGCATTGATTTCATAAATATTTGGTTTTCCCAAATTAGTTACGAAATATAAGTATTTTATCGTTTTCGTGGAAAGTGATTTCACGCTCGCGTTATTACACTTTAGTGAAGTCAGCCACTTTCGAATACCTTTCATTGTGCGCAAACAAACCCTCTTCTATGCCTATTTTTAACTAAATTTTTTGCGAAATTGTAGTCTGAAATATAGGCACGCCTACTCTTCGCCTTTTATATTGTTAGACCCACGTAATAGGCGAGGATATTGCCATAAATAACTCGGGTTCAAATACGTACTTGGTACTACTTGAGAATATGATATTCGAAAATCCCTACAACGCGTTTCATATTATTTTATATATCAGCCTTACATCTCAGCCATACTAGTATAATTGACATATTGGAAATAAAGTATCTCTAAAGTAATATAATGACTGACACCTAATCTGTCAGCATGAGAAATCCAGATAATGCTGCACAAAAGTTTGCGTTTCAACTTTTTCTTTCTTCATTCACATCTAGTTTGTTGAGATAATACTTTGTCATGACGACGTCGACAGAGATGAAGCACGTTAATCTCTCACACCAGGCTTATGTCAATGAATACTAATAATAGGATCGCAAAAAACTGGATTTTCTACGGATATTCCTAAAGATTGTTTACATCGTTATATCTACAATTAGAGTTGTTTATATCGCCTTGATAAATAATAATAATAATTCGAAATAACCCACAATCGCATGATAAAATAAGAATTTACCTAACGTAAGTACCTTCTACTCTTGTAACTAATTTAAATATTTTTATTACATTTCAAATACCAGACCAAATAGTCCGCACGTTTTCGATATCGTGAAAAAACTTGTGCTCCATGCACGTGATCGAATACTGTGTATCAAAATAACTGAAAACAAAGGCAACGGTTAGCACAAGCCAGGCGGATTCGTTCGACCTTTGTGCTCAATTAACTGTAAATCAAAACAAGCTAACATCTAAAGTTTCAACAAACTTAGACTTCAAACAATTTGTACTGAAGACTTCGTACCAAAACCTTTCGCATCTCAATCAATAAACTACTTGATTGAAATCTGTAAATGAAGTCGGTGCTTCAGAATATTTTCGGCAAATACGAAGTAATTAAGCATCCGTTAGACGTTAGACGAAAAATGAATTAGAAAACGTGTTTTTCTGTCTGCTACGTACAGAACATGCCAACGGAATATTAATAGTAGACGAATGAACGGTTATGCACATACATACAAAGATATAAATTAAAATATTCGGTTGCCAAAGAAGCGACTGCGATGAAGAATAGCTTGGTTAAATTATTTTGGGATACATGTTTCTTAAAGGAGCCTAAAGCTCTAAAGATTACTGCATCCATAATTCGACACCGAAATGTGGTGTTTACATCATTAAATTGACCTTAATGACACCTACGAAAGTTTATAGAGTATTTTTGTACGACCACACAACACCATGATGTAATAAATAACAAGAAGCGATTTAGCTTGTTATGATTTTAACGCATAGACGGCGAGCTATTTTAGCAGCATCGCTCGTCTCGCAGACTTGCTTCCGCACCGCACTGCACATCTTGTCTAATACAAAGAAACAACAAAGCATCCAAATTACGTGAGTCGGCTGTAAACCATATGGGATGCCTGTGTTATCGTTACAGCATTTTACTACAATAATAAAAAAAAATTCGTGGCCCCGTTCATAAATACGTTTGTGAACATTAAAACTGACATACTAGCCTATTCATCTG